TAATTGACGACATAAGGGTGGGTTCACCAGGGATATTGGCCTGTGGTTTTTTTTCTTTTCTTTTCTTTTCTTTCTGGTTTTGGTATTAGGGTAGTGCTGGCCTCACAGAATGTATTTGGAAGCTTTCTTTCCTCTTCTACTTTTTTTTTTTTTCTTAAAGTAGGTTATATATGTAGTGTAGAGCCTAATGTAGGACTTGAACTCATGACCCTAAAATCAAGATCTGAGCTGAGATCAAGTCGGATGCTTAACCCACTGAGCCACCCAGGTGCCCCTATTATTTTGGAATAGTTTGAGGAGAATGGGTACTAACTCTTCTTTACAAGTTTGGTGGAATTCACCTGTGAATCCATCTGGTCTGGACTTTGTTGTTGTTTTTAAATTGTGGTTTAACTTTATCACTTGTAAGGGGTCTGTTCACATTTTCTATTTTTTCCTGCTTCAGTTTTGGAAGATTGTTATGTTTCTGGAAACTTACCCATTTCTACTAGGTTGTCATATAATTTTTCGTAGTAGTCTCTTATAATCCTTTGTATTGTGGTGCTGGTTGTTACTTCTCTTTTAATTCTGATTTGGGTCCTTTTTTTTTTTCTTCTTGATGAGTCTGGCTATAAGTTTATCAATTTTGCTTATCTTTTCAGTGAACCAGCTCTTGGTTTCAGTGGTCTTTTCTATTTTTTATTCTGTTTCATTTATTTCTGCTCTACATTTTTTTATTTTATTCCTTCTAATGTTGGCCTTGTTCTTTTTCTAGTTTCCTTCAGGTAGAAGGTTAGATTGTTTATTTGATATTTTTCTTGTTTCTTTGGTAGGACTGTATTCCTATAAATTCCCTTCTTAGAACTGCTTTTGTCATGCTCCAAAGATTTGCGGCTGTTGTGTTACCATTTTCATTTGTCTCCATTTCTTTCTTGTTGATTTCCTTGTTGACCCATTGGTTGTTCAGGATCATGTTGCTTAGCCTCCATGTGCTCGTGTTTTTTTGTTTTGTTTTGTTTTTTTCATTTTTTTTTCTTTTAGTTGATTTCTAGTTGTATACTGTTATGGTTGGGAAAGATGCACGATATAATTCAGTCTTAAATTTATTGAGACTTGTTTTGTAGTCTTAACATGTGATCTAACCTGGAGAATGTACCATGTGCGCTTGAAAATAATGTGTATTCTGTTGTTTTTGGATAGAATATTATGTATACCTGTGCTAAGTTCATCTGGTCTAAAGTGTCATTCAAGAACATTGTTTTCTTACTGATTTTCTTACTGGATGTTGCATCCATTGATGTAAAAGTGGTGTGAAAGTGCCTTGCTATTATTTTATTATTGTTACTTTCTCTCTGTATGTCTATTAATATTTACTTTATGTATTTAAGTGTCTCAGTGTTGCGTGCATAGATATTTACATC